TTTTTGCGGAAATATTTTACAAGGTCATTTTTTACTGCATTTAGAGTAGTCTTACCATTTTCTATATCATTAAATAGGCGTGCTGCATGTACATGCTTGCACACATCATGGAAAGACCCGTTCCATACAAAGTCAAGACATGTGCACTCTCCTGTAGAAATATTAATGATATAGTGATCATTTAATTGTATAACTGGATGCTTAGAAATAAGCTTATTTAATAGTGGCTAAAGTAATTGATATGATTCATTATCAAGGTTAATATATTTCATAGTATATAGAGAGCAAAACTTATTATTTCCTTTTTTAACATAGAAATATAAGTCATTTTCACCAACTACATGTTTTACTAAATAAAGTAAAACACACAGTCGTCTCTGATTTAAACGTTATTTTATATCTGCAGGTTGTTTAAATGATAATGCTTGATGTTCTATAATACATGCATTCTAATAGGTTACTTGACCAGGTTCAAATATAAATTGTGAAGAATTTTCCTGAATAATATTATCTCATATTAGTTTAATCCCATATAATCTTTTAATGAAGTTATTGATTGGTTGGGTGCCTACATGTCTGCCTTCGATTGATTTGTTTATTTGTTCTGTAAGATTATTTGTAGTCATAGGTTTTACACCTGGCAATCATTTATAGAAGGCAACTGACCACCATTGATAAAACAATCAATCTATTCTTCAGATAACCAATTAGCAAATATATCATTGCACAAACATTCTTTAGTAATTTCTGGAAGTAGTAGAGTTCTAATAAATAATTCATAAACATGACCAAGCTCTATAGCTTCTTCTTTACTTCTGCTTCTACCTACAACCTTAAATGTAATAGCAATTGGATATCGATAATGATCAACAATTCTTAAATCTTTAAGATGTTCCCCAAGTATTTGCATAATATGAAACCAACATAAAATTAATCCACGAAGAATGGGCTGAAGCCCCTGCTTTGTTGGATGGTGTTTATTAATCATTGCATATGGGCACCACTCTTGTGCACAATGACGAATTCTCATAAATTCTTTACTATTTGTCAGTTCTATATACTGATACTCATGTGTACAATCAGTACTATTACAAGGAATATTTCATTTTACTGCTTCTACAGCAAGTCTAATTGTATGATTATTTTCTTTATTTGACACTCCGAATGCAATTGGTATCCTATACCCTGCACAGTCTTCAACAACAAGAGACAATACTTGTGCACTATCACTATTCAAGTCATATTTTTCATCAACTTCAAAACAAAATGATCTGAAATCACATGCTTGCTGAAACCACAAGTCATCGCTCATAGTAAGTTAATAATAATGTTCTGAACTATCTTCATTCACATTAATGTTTGGCTGTTGATAATACAAAATAACACCCTTTTCTTTTAATATACCAGTTACTAACTCGTGACTATTGTCTATGGTCCTGTATTTTTTCTTATACGTAAGTCATCTCTCTCAAGAAGTTGACGAAGTTTGACATCATCACATATAGACCTTTGATTGTTATATAACTTTTGTAGTTCATTTGGTAAAGCACCATTATGAGATGCTAGAAGCTTCATTTTAACTTCTTTGGTTGTGTTTTTGTTAGCTCGATGATTTAAAATTGCCAAATCACATGCTTCCCGACTTAGATTAATTCTAGATATTGCTCGTTCATGTATAATATTTTGTGGAACATGATTACCACTAATAATCATATGCATAGATAAGTCTGTATCTACTTCAGAGA